CACGTACATACCTGTACGCTATCGTCATCGGCTCTTTGATCGATCGTATTCATTTCTCTCATCGATTGATATCAATGAGCCACGATTACGATTTGTATAAAAGGGACGCGATGTCATTGCGCGAGCAAATCCTTTTGTGCGATCTCATAAATCGCGCGATCTCACAAATAATCACATTTAATCGCATTTCGCGTTTGTACAAATTTGTTTCAGCGTGTAAGTTGAGAAATGCAAACAAAAAACGTACAATATACTTCTGACACCCCCGGGAAAAAATGGATTAGATCTAACTTAAATTTAACGAGATAAAAAAAAAATGAAAAAATAGATCCAATTAGATCCAAATTAAATCTAAATAGATATAAAGTAGATCTAAATAAATATAAAGCAGATCTATTAAATTTGCACCTTTATATATTATCAAATCTACTTTAGATCTCTATATCAGATCTACTATAATTAAAATTACTCAGATTTAGTTTAGATTTGAGCAGATCCGAACAGATCCGAGGTGATCTAATACAATAGATCTGAGTAGATCTAATAATAAATAAAAGTGTAAATTTTCATAGATTTACTTATATTTATTTAGATCTACTTTATATCTATTTAGATTTAATTAGATCTATTTTTTCATTTTTTTTTTTATCTCGTTAAATTCAAGTTAGATTTAATCCATTTTTTCTCGCGAGACAGAACAAAAGCTCCATTAAAAATGTCTCCATTAGACGTCGTCAACAGCATCATGCGATATCTGATATACGTCTAACGGAGGTTTTTTGTTCCGTTTAGGTTGTTATTCAAATATTATATACGCAATATATATTACTTGTTGAAACAAACGTTGCGCGTTTATTTGCGTTTTCTCTCAAACGTGTGCGACATAGCAAATTTTGCTAACGTGAGATACGCGGTGGCGAACATGGTTGAGAGAACATGGATTATTTATTGTATCGCGGGATGAGATCACAATGGTTACTCACAACGAGGTTTGCAGCAATCCCGTGTCTCTTCGGCAAAACGAAAAAGTGAGAAACAAGTGAGGAAAAGACGATTGATGATAAATTCACGATACGCGTCGATGCGTGCGCAATACGCACTTTGATAACCGATAACCGCGACGGAAAGGAGCATTGACATCCCGTTCGAACATTGCAACTTGCAAGAATAATCGAAGTTCGCGCGCGAGTTTTCGTACGAGTTTATAATAATAATAATAATATTCTCTTGGAATAGATTTTTTTCGGCTTGGAATATATTTGTTTTTCGCGATCACGCGTTTTTGTTCTTTCGCGTTTTGCAACAAACAATCGCGCGCTTCGTTCGTTTTTTTGCGAGTCAAATAATCGGTGTCGAATTGTGCGAGATTGAACTAGATCGCTGACGGAAACCATCCCCACCGACGCGAAAAGCGCTTCGACTTTTATGAATGATGAAACTTTCTTTTACATCGTCGCTCCCTACGTATAAATTACATAAGTGTCACGTACCGAATTTTCAATTTATCGCATAATCCCGGGAAAAAATGGATCAGATCTAACTTAAATTTAACGAGATAAAAAAAAAAAAAAGGAAAAATAAATCTAATTAAATTGAGCATCCTATATGATTATTAGAATTGTAATTACAATTCAAAAAACTCACGTGAAAAACGTGAATTCGATTATATATGTGTACACACGCACATATATATATATATATAGACATATTTCCCGCATAACATCCAGTGAACGGCTCTCAACGACTTATCATTCATTTATTAGTTAAAGATCTAATTAGATCCAAATTAAATCTAAATAGATGTAAAGTAGATCTAAATAAATATAAGCAGATCTATTAAATTTACACCTTTATATATTATTAAATCTACTTCAGATCTCTACTCGGATCTACTGTAATTAAAACTACTCAGATTTTTAGTTTAAATTCGAGCAGATCCGAACAGATCTGAGGTGATCTAATATAATAGATCTGAGTAGATCTAATACTATATATACTAAATAAAAGTGTAAATTTCCATAGATTTACTTATATTTATTTAGATCCACTTTATATCTATTTAGATTTAATTTGGATCTAATTAGATCTATTTTTCCATGTTTTTTATCTCGTTAAATTTAAGTTAAGATCTAATCCATTTTTTCTCGGGATGACACTTAGAAAGTCACGTTCTTTATGATTACCGAATAGTAAAAAAACAATATTCACAAGGTAAAAATTTAAAACCAAAAGATCCCTTAACTAGAGAAACTATATATGAAGCTTTAAACTTTTAAACTGCTCTCCTCTACAATGTGCGTTTTGAAGTTACGGGATTATACGTAGGGAGTGACGATACTACGTGACTTGTGACACATCGTATCTTTTTCTCTCTCTCTTTCTCTTTCACACACACACACACACACACGCACACATATCGCAGACTCACGCACAGTTGCTCGTCATATATTTGTCATTTACATATTCGAGCGATGATCTCCTTCTCGTATTTTTTTTTTTTTTTTTTTTAGTTATTTCTTTAATTCCGTGCAATTGCAAACGATGTCAAAGTTGAAGTTCAAAGTGATACACAGAGCCGCGCGCGCGCGCGCGCGCAGCGTCTTATATACAGAGTTAAAAAAATTGTTGCACACGTCTTACTGTTGCGCGCGCAAGTAAGAAAATACTGATAAAATTCTTCTCTTCACAATTGGCAAGAAGTGTTTTAATGAATTACATACATAATTAGTATTTTTAATTAGTATTTTTTGTACAAGCAATAACATTTTTTTTCAACAATCGACGAATTCGTTGTAACGTTTAATTGCCTGATCGGAAAAAAAACGCTCGATACTCATTTTTTCACATATAACAGATCCGCTAGAGAGAATCGTGTGTATATGTGTACATATAAGTACAAAATATACAAACGCGCGTTTAACAGCGTCAAAATACCTTCGGATTCTGTACGTAAGTACCGAAGATGTGTTCTCGCGCAAGGCAAAGAACGTCGGGTTATGTATATATATATATATATATGTATTTATGTGTACGAAAAAAAATTTATAGCTTTTGTTCGCAATACAAATACTTTAAGTAATAAAAAAAAGATGTCGCTGCAATACAACATCATCGAATTGGTAAAAGTCAAAAATACAAATATTAAAATTGCGCGGCGTATAAATGTACCGTATATTATATCAAAAAACTTTAGAAAGTATATTTTTTTTTATTTTATGTATCAGGGAATGTGTTCGTGTGTGTATCGCTCTTATTCTAATATTATATATATATATATATATATTCTATTAAATAAAAATGCAGAAAAAACATGTATACATAGCGTGTGCGCGTATATGCGCGTGCGCTCTACGCAAGTAACATATATTCGTTTGTTCATTCTCATCGCGAGTCTCAAGAGAGAAACGCGATACGAGTTCGATTAAAACAACTTGGCAGATTAAAATTTAATTTTATCTGAACTCTTTTTCTTCTCACATATACACACACACACAATGCACGTCTGTGTGCGGATCACCACCGTTTTACAATTATCCGTCTCAATTATCTCTGTACCAGAGCGTGCTGCTATCTTCTTAATTTACGTGTTATCTCGTATAAATTGTGTGTTGCACACAAATAATTTTTGTCGCGAGATGCGAAACGAAACTCGCTCGCTCTTGAATTTATTAGCAAAGATTTAAATTATTTTCTATGTCGACGAATGATTCGCCAAATCGAGAAACGTTCAGAAAGCGATCGAAGAGATCCGATACGACGCACAAGGATTTTATTATTTAAAAATCGTTTATTCTATATTTTTGTTAAAAAATGTATGTAGAAATTAATCAGATCTGATATAATCGCGCTATATTTTTATGTACAATTCAATGTTTTTGGCAACGTAAGATTTAACACTTTTTTTTTCATTGCCTAACGGAAAACACGCGCACGCACTTATATCTAGATCAATTTAACACAATTCTATACATTTTTCATATTTCTTACATAACATATATAGATATATATATATATATATATGTATATATGTATATATGTGTATATATATACATATGTGTATAAAAACAAGTTTTGTCCGTTTCGGGCAGCAATTTTTTTCGTGACAAATCAACACGTGACTATATATATGTACTACTACATTCTAATAAGTTAAAACAATTTCATTTCTAACAATACGACTGCGTTTTCGATGTTCGCCGAACGCGCTGAAAATCTACATCACGTGTAATAACGTGAAATAATGGATTTTCACTACGGGCGCAATAAGTAACGGAACGTAGATATTCGATATATATATACGTCGACGCGTTACGTTGTTCTTCGGGGACGTAGAACTTCTACGTCCCCGAAGAACAACGTAAGAATAAGATCGTAGTCGAAGTTATAGTCGCAATCTGTGATCTGCAGAACAACCGAATAAAATCGCAGGCAATTCCTTCCATTGTACTTGCGCGAGAGAGTGTCATACGTACACACACGCGTGTGTATGTATTAAAAAAAAAAATCTATCTTAGAATTACATTACTTAATTAGGCCACAGTATGCTTCACGTAATAACAAAACACATTTTCGATGTAATGCGATTTAAGTAAATGTCTTCGCATGTATATGTGTTCTTTTATTATACATTTATATTTAAATTATTCATATATAGAATGTTTTTTTTTTTTTTTCGTACCTGTTGTGTTTATATGCTTTATATTTATTTATTTATTTATTTTTGCGCTCTATCTTGGATTATATCCTGGAAGAAAAGCCACGCGCAATATTTCGCGCGGTAACGCTCTCTGATCAGCACCAAATCATATTCGGAGGTATATTTTTCTTTCTCTACGCTACAGCCTAAAGTCGAGGAAGAATTACGTGTATACAATTCTTTCCTCTCTCTCTCTCAAAAAAAAATCTTACTTTAAATAGAAATAAGAAATTATATAATTAAGAAAATTAATTGATATCGCAACTCAAATTAATTTTCCTTGAAGAGAGATTAGGAGAAAAAAAAAAAAAAAAAAAAACGTTTACAAAAACAGATTTTATAGAAATGCGACGTAAACTTAATTATAAAACTACTTTCTTTTTAAGTATATCAAAATAAACTTGTAGATTTTTTTTGTTTATAATTAATTCTCGACGATGTTTAGTATGAATTCAGAAATCAAAATGTTAGATTCCGCTGTCTCGCGCGATAATCAATTAATTACCCTGCGACAGAGATTGAAGGACGAGGCTTTTGCAGCAACTTTTGAAATATTAAAAAATATTTGTTTTGTTCAATCCGCGTTTGTAGGTAACAATTGCGTTAAGAGTTTGTAAATATTTTTTTTGTCATCATTCGGACACGTTTGATGGATTTGCGGTGTCATTTCGACGTTGCAAACGCTCTGGATGCGAGCAAGCCAACTGGCTGAAATCACGAACGACGTCATTGAACGTTTCGTCACCTGTGACGCCTATTTCGGAATCCTTCATCTCTTCGTTCAACAAACCGAGTCTCAATCTGAAACGCGCATTAAGTGTACGATACAAAAAACAAAAAAATGCATTAATATATAAATAAACAAACTCTCTTACACTTACAAAGTAACAATGTCGGCATTTGCTTCTTTCACAGCGATCGATAAAGGTTTTATTCCGCTTTCGTCCTCGATGTGCTGATCGGCACGATGCTTCAGAAGTAAGCATACTTGCGCAGTATGTCCTGCAACAGTTGTAAGAATATATGCGCAAGATTTTAGAAATAAAAATGGGGTAGGACAAAAAATAAAAATAAAAATTATATAAAAATATATACAATTATATAAAATTATATAAAATTATAAATTATATAAAAATTATATAAAAATATAAATTATATATATAATTATTTACTATGTACCTAATTCTGTCGCTAAATGCAGCGGTGTTTTTCCCTCGGCATCTT